TAAATATATACATATGTTTTTAATTTTCGTAATTATAGAATATCGATATATGCATGCAATAAATTATATTTTTTAAAATACAACATATAAATATTTTTATTATTTCATTATTTCATTTCAATATTAATATAAATATTCATATAAGTCAACTTTATATATATATAAATATTTTTATATATATAAATATGCATTCAAATCAAGTTTATTTTTTTATTTTTTGTTCCGGATTATGTGTATATCAAATAATGACAATTTTTACATTTTTTTATAACTATATTTCTTTCCCATATTATATGCATCATAAAATAAGATAAATTATGTCTTTTATTGTGGCTTAACTTTTCTCGAATTAGGTGGCTCAATTAGTTGTCAATCAAAATTAATTATTTCCAAATTAACTTAATACATATTTATTAACTGCCATGATTAACTATTTACAAATCAATTCAAATCAAATCAAATCATTTCATTATATAATCAATGATTTCAAAATTTTAGATTGTCAATCATTTTAGAATTTAAATTTTGAAATTTTAAAATATTTCCAAAGTTACGTAATAATTCATGCTATATAATCTACCACAACAATGTGATTTTCAACACTCGAACCAACTACTTCATATTATCATATCCAATTATGTTTCCGTTTTAATATTTATATATAATTTGCAGCACTTGATCCAACTACTTCATATGATAATCTACTTCATATTATCAAATGTAATTGTCTTTCGGTGTTAATAATTATATGTAATTTTCAGCACTCTATCCTCCACCTTCTTTTGTTCCATTTTTTTTTCCTCAACACGCACTCGACCCAAATACATATCATTAATATTCCTCACGTTTCTTTTAAATTTTAATGGTTTTTTTATTGAAATGAGATTTATAGTTGTAGGATCCGATATTTTATAAAATTAGATCCCCTTTCAACCTTAATTTAAATAAAATATTAAAACATCAAGTAAAACTTTTTTTAGTACGCATTTTTCAGCTTTTGGCACTACGTATGTTTCATCGCTATAAATTTTTATTAGTTGGATACATATCCCCTAATTTTATGCAATTCGTTTTTATATATGAAATTAATTACTAAAATTTTGGATAGCTTTATGCCCTAATTTTAATTACTCCTCATAATCTTCATTCAAATTAGTCCCATCAAACTAAATCAATAATGTTTTCAACTATACTTTTTTATAGTTTCTTAGATTATTCCAAAATCTAAAGGGGTAGAAAATTCTATTATTGGTAATAATTGGTAGGTGGTTTATTATTGTTTTTGTAATGATTTTTTGTTTAATAATTTCCATATAATTACTTTTTATTTAACCTTCATTTTCGGTCATAATTATATTATATTAGTATCACTATTTGAGTTGCATCAGTATTAGTAGTAGCATTACCATTAGCAGTAGTAATAGAATTAGAATTAGAATTTGCATTAGTATATTAGGATTAGAATTAGTATATTAGGATTAATATTAGCATTAGTATATTAGGATTAACATTAGTATTGATATTAGCATTATCATATAAGTATTAGTTTAGTATTATTAGTAATACTAATATTTGTATTAGCATTATGATTAAGATTATAATTAGCATTAGCATTACCGTTAGCATATTACAATTAATATTAGTATGAATATCAGTATTCATATTAGTATGAATATTAGCATTATGATTATGGTGCATATTAGTATTAGCATTATGATTAAAATTATTATTGAAAATTAGCATTAACATTAGCATTAGCATTAGCATTGCCCTTAGCATTAGCATATTAGGAATAGTATTAAAATTAGTGTTAGCATTAGCATATTTGCATTTCTATAATGATTAGAATTATGATTCGTATTATTATTAGAATTAGGATTATAATTAGAATTAATATTAGAATTAAGATTTTCATTACCATTAGGATTAGGATTAAGATTATGATTATGATTAAAATTATGATTGAAATTAGTATTATGATTACAATTAGGGTTAGTATTAGTATTATTGTTAGGATTATGATTAATGTTAGTACTATGATTAGGATTATCATTAGAATTACTAATAGTTGTAGTATTATTATCAGATTAGTCTTAATATTAGTATATTACTATTAGTATTAGTAATGGTAATGGTAATTGTAAAGGTAATGGTAATGGTAATGATTGATATTGGTATCAATATTGATATTGGTCCTATAATATTGATATGGATCTCGGTATTGATGTTAGTATTGGTAATGGTAATGGTAATGATAATGGTAATGGTAATGCTAATGATATTAGTATTGGTGATGGTAATGGCAATGAGTAACAGTAATGATAACGATAATTGTAATGGTAATGGTAATGGTAATGGTAATGGTAATGGTATTGGTATTGGTATTGGTATTGGTATTGGTATTGGTAATGGTATTGGTATTGGTATTGATATTGGTATTGGTATTGGTATAGGTATTGATATTGGTATTGATATTGGTATTGGTATTGTATTGGTACGTATTGGTATTGATATATTAGTATTGGTATTAGTATATTAGTATTAGTATTAGTATTAGTATTAGTATTAGTATTAGTATATTAGTATCAGTATTAGTATATTAGTATTAGTATATTAGTATATTAGTATATTAGTATCAGTACATTAGTATTAATATTAGTATCTTAGTATTAGTATTAGTATTAGCATTTGTATATTAATATTAACATTAACGAATTAATATTACTAATAGTATTAATATATTAGGATTAGTATTAGCATTAGCATATAAGTATTAGTATTAGTATAAGTGTTAGTTAGTATTATGATTAAGATTAGAATTAGTATTAGTATATTAGAATTGATATTAGTATGAATATTAGTATTCAGATTAGCATTATAATTAGAATTGGTGTTAATATCGACATTATGATTAGAATTATAATTAGAATTAGGATTTGCATTACCATTAGCATTAGCATATAAAGATTGGTATTGAGATTACCGTTAGCATTAGCATCTTTGCATTTTTATAGGGATTGGAATTATGATTCGTATTATTATTAGGATTAAGATTATGATTAAAATTAGTATTAAGATTAAGATTAGTATTACCATTAGGATTATAATTTGGATTAGAACAATGATTGAGATTAGTATTATAATTAAGATTAGAGTTAATACCAGGATTAGGATTAGCAATAACACTAGAATTACTAATACTAATAGTAATAGTATTATTATCATATTAGTATTAGTTTTAGCATTAGTAATAGTAATGGTAATGGTATTGGTATTGGTGACGGTAACTGCAATGGTAATGGTCATAGTAATGGTATTGGCATTGGTGATGGTAATGGTAACGGTAATGGTATTGGTATTTGTATTCATATTGGTACTGGTACTGGTACTGTATTCATCACTTACACAATACATAATATATTTTTTATTTTCTTTTACTTTTCTACTAATTTGTATTACATATCATTGATCTTACTATTTCGAGGACTTTTTTTTAAAGAAAATATTTATTTTTACGATGAATACCCCGTGCAACGCACGAGTGAAGTACTAGAACAATGTATAGTATTAGTATTAATATTTATCGTTGTATTAGTATTAGTATTAGTAATAATATTAGTATCAGTATCAGTATCAGTATTAGTTGTAGTATTAATATTAATATCAATATTAATATTAGTATTAGTATTAGTATTAGTATAAGTATTAGTATTAGTATTAGTATGATATTAGTATTAGTATCAGTATCAGTATTACTATCAATATCAGTATTAGTATCAGTATCACTATCAGTATTAGTCTCATTATCAATAACAACATCGGTCTCAGTATCAGTATCAGTATCAGTATCAGTATGAGTATCAGTATCAATATATGTATCAATATATGTATGAGTATTGGTATGAGTATTGGTATGACTATTGGTATGAATATTAATATTGGTATTAGTATTGGTATTAATATTAGTATGAGTATTAGTATCAGTATCGGTATTAGTATCAGTATCAATATCAGTATCAATATATATATGTGTATCAGTATGTGTATTAGTATTAGTATCAATATTAATATCAGTAGTAGTATCAGCAGTATCGATGTCAATATCACTATTATTATCATAGTTATTATCATTATTATTATTATCATTATTAGTATTATTATTAGGATTCGAATTCATATTAGTCTTGGCGTATTAGCATTAATATTAATATTAGCATTAATCTTAGTATTAGTATTAGTATTAGTATCAGTATTAGTATTAGTATTCGAATTCGAATTAGACTATTAGTATTAGTATTAGTATTAGTATTAGTATTAGTATTAGTATTAGTATTAGTATTAGTATTAGTATTAGTATTAGTATTAGAATTAGTATTGGCGTATTAGTTTTAACATTAAATATTCATATTTGAATTAGACTATTAGTATTAATCATCATATTAATATTAGGATTAGTATTAATATTAGTATTATTAGTGTTTGTTTTAGTATTAATATTAGTATTGGTATTAGTACTATCAATGTTGGGTTTTAGTATTAGCAGCAGTAGTAATTGTTGTTAGTGTAATATTAGTGTTAATATTAGGGTGGCATAAGCAATTGTACGCCGCAATGTCCAGAGTTAAAAGTAGATTTGGGATAAAGATATTTATCAACTCAGAATCGGGCGATATAACTAAAATTACGAGCAATGTTGTGTGCACAAAAGATTTTCAGCGAATATGAAGGTAAATGACAAACAAATGTATATTTTGATTCAATAAAACTTTTTTTTGGTATTATTTACATGTATATCAACTGTTCAAAATTTTCGTTCGTTTTATTTTATCCAAATAAAATTTTTAAAAAAAATTGACCCCGTGCATCGCACGGGTGAATTACTAGTTATTTATTTATTTGAAAGAATTGAAGCAAATTGATACACTGAAAAAGGGACACCAGCGCACAGTTAATTTGCAGTGGGGCCCAGCTAAAATACAATAATTAATCTTAAAATATATAAAAAAAAAAAAAGAAAAAAGAAAAACCCTCCATTTTCAAACTAGCCGTTGTGTATATTTGTTTTGTGAACCCAGCTCATCTCTCTACCGACGACGACGCTCTCTTTTCTCTCTCTTCTTCTGTGCCCAAATCCTCCAACCATACATTCTTCTTATTACGGAGTATATAAACTACGCAAACCCCTTCAATCCTCTCTCTCACCTACTGAGTGTGTTTGTGCGTGAAGAAATTAATCACCCATGGCTATGTTTACTGAAGGCCTAGACGAAAGCGCCATCAATTGGATCAAGAGGGTAACTTCCATTTTTCATTACCCACCATTTCATTTTGATTTTCTTTTCTCAATATATTTTGTGAACCTGTCTTCCAATTCATGTTAAATTCGAATGTATTTCGAGCAAGAATAAAAATTTGCTCAAAATCTGGAGCCCTAATAATTTAAAAATGCGCAAACGATTTATTATTTGTTGAATTATGCGTGCAGGGATCGGATGCAGAACAGTGCAGAACCAGATCACCGTTGACGGAGAAGCTAGACACAAAGTACCCACTTCCCAGATCGCCATTAGCCTACACTTCCAGTAATTACAAATCTTCCCACATACTTCCTCCTCTGAAATTTCACTCCGGTTTGCTGAAACCCCTCAACTCTCTAAGTGTCGATAGCAACGAAGAAGAATCGGATTACTACAATGACGATGAGAGCGTGGGCTCCGCGTCCGCCCCCGATGAAACGTGCGGGGACCACTCCGATTACGAAGACGATGAGGTGGATAGGCCGCCGACAGTTGAGGGTTTTAAAGATGATGATGATGATGTGTTCAACCTCAATTCGAGCAAGAAAACGAGTGATAGGAAATACGGGTCCACGATTAATAGAGGAATGTTGAGAGAGGGTCTTCGAGTTGAAGTTCCGAGGAGTGTAAAGAGTTTTAGTGACGTGGGATGGGATTCGAGGGGATGTGGGCAGAGCAGCGCAGTTTCGGGTGGAAGTTGCCGGTTGAATCCTCGCAGTGCATATGTAAGTATCACATTATTATTATTTTATTTTCAAGAACTTGAATCGTGAATCGTCTACATGTAAAAGTCAAATGGTAAAATAATATCAAGTATGAAAATCCGACAGTTAATTTGAGAGTTCTCAGTTAATAAGGTTAGAGTGTTTGTTTGCAGGGTACCCCAGTTGGTATATTAGGTGATAATATTGACCTTGGTACCCCGAGTGCACCACCATTCATGGATACCGGAAACGATCGTGGCTCTGAGGTCGTAAGTGAGAAAAGTATCGATGGTCAATTAAAAGAACCCAAGCAGAGTTTTTCGGCCGATAAAAAATTTCCGGAGCAAAATCAAGAATCTGCGGAAACTGAAACAGGCATGCATAAAAGGTATGCTCACTATAATAGCTTGGATGTGTTGGCCTTTTTTTTTCTAATCATAATTGTTTCATCGTTTGAGAGCCGATCATTGTAGGGACGGCAAAGAAACACTCGGGGAAAGAGAAATTCCTACGCCTATCCAGCGTGCAAGTTCAGTTGACCACATACCTTATTACCATGCCAGGTTATATGATACTAGGTTTCTTACATTTTTCGGCACTGCTATTGTTTCATTGTTTGTCTTGCTTACGCCAAAAATAGTGTTCTGAAAAGCTAGTTTCTTTTTCGGACGACAGTGGTCAAAATGGTTGGCAAGCACTTATAGCTTATGATGCGTGCATTCGTTTATGTCTAAATTCGTGGGCAAGAGGTTGTGCAGAGGCGCCTGAATTTCTGCGAGATGAGTGTCAGCTTCTTCGTAGTGCATTTGGGTATGTCTATATATATATATATATATGTATATATATATATATATATGTATATATATATATATATATATATATGTATGTATATATATATGTATATATATGTATATATATATGTATATATATCTTCTATGATCTACAAGTTGGGTTACATTTGAAACGGAACTTATGTATAAAATTTTCTTCTTTAGACTGCACAAACTCTTGCTTCAACCTCGAGGCGTACAACAAACTGAAAGGGATAACAAGATCGCTGATCAAACAATGACCTCGAAAGTGAAAAAAACAGTTGGAAAGATTCGTGTTGAAGGTTTATCCATTGTCCTTTAGAACTGTTTTAAATTACTCTTTTGTGTGTGTGCCGCTAATTATTGGAGATATTAATATTAAACGATACATTTCACTAATAGCTTAAGCTTTTGGTTGAGGTGATCATTCAACACTAATAAACATGCTTGGCATTAATCTTCTATTAGTATCTAAGTACGGCAAATTAAGGAAGTCAGAGTTGATGAAAGCATTTGCTTCTGGAGAAAAGCTAGAATCTATAATAGCTTGTTATATTTGATCTATTTCTGTTATGGCAGTGAAAAAGCTCCGCATAATACCAAGAAGAAAGCTAAAGGACACAAATTCGATGAGAAGTGCTATTTACCTGCAAGCTGGAGCTGAGTATGTTCGACAAGTTTCAACCATTGTGAAACACAGGATCAATTCTCTTAGACTCAGTCCATTTTCGTTGCCATCTGAAGGTTTGTTATTAATCGGCAAAAGTACCTCTTATAATCAATGTTCAAAGATTTTGAAACAAAATTCAAGCATCTTGCAAACCACTAATCTGTCTGTATGTTATTGAATATCAACAGAATCATCACTATGTATGATTCACCTGAAAAGTTCGGCAGAAGATAATGAAGTGGAATCAGTTTCTGCCATCTCTCTGCGCCCTGGAACCGGTGAATATCACGACTTGTAAGTCGGCATATTAGATTCACAGAGAAAATATTACACTGGTTGTTTATCATTAAAATTTAGTTACAGTTTTGAGGTTTAAACTATGGTCTGGTAATGAAATGTTGGATTTCAGTTTTCCCGAGAGCCAAGGAGATGCTCTATTACTGGAAGTCCAAGATGTAATGAAAAACGTTCAAGGTTGTGCTACAATTTCAGTTTCTTCTCTAACCGACAACCCTGTAAGCGTACTCACCTTACGAGACTTGGGAGATCTTTATTTATCAATATATTTAATTTTCATCCATTAAATGTCAATTGAACTTTTGCAGAATGATAGAGTTCGGTGGTGGCCCATTTATCACAACGATAATGAATGTGTCGGAAAGGTCTTGCTCTCCATTGGAAGCACTTTCACGAGTGACGAGACAGTGCTTATGAAGGTCCGATTTCCTTATTATTTTCCTCGTGTATCCACTTTCATTGTTTTATATTCTGGTTTTGAAATGTTAAGTAGATGAACTCATCGAGACATGATTGAGATCTCACGTGTATGTCATATATGTAATAGAGTGGTTCTATAGTGGAGACCCTAGCATATGATCTACTGCTAGAGGCTGCCATGCGTGCACAACAGTTTCATGCACGGAATTTACGTATAGAGGGGCCTTGGAAGTGGATCCTCACAGTGTTTGCTGATTATTACGGAGTTTCCGACACCTATACCAAATTAAGGTATATGTTTAAATTAAGTTGGTATTTTTTTCTATGTTTTGAATTTAAAAAAGAAATTTAACGTCTCCCCTTGATATATGTATTACAAATACAGATACCTCTCTTACGTAATGAATGTCGCCACTCCTACAAAAGATTGCTTAGAGCTTTTGCACGAGTTGCTTGTGCCGGTCTTGAAGACCAGAAGTGACAGAAATTTAACAAGACAAGAGGTAAGTTTCTTCCATTTACATTATTTCATTTTCAAATTACGTAAGTTGCTCGCACTTTCTTTTAACCATTATTATTACATGATTCGTCGATTCCCAGAAAAGCATTTTGTTGGACTGTGAGATGCAAGTCGAGAGGCTTCTCGCTGAGGTTTTTGAGAATTACAAGTCACTCGATGAAAATTCACCGACGGGCTTAGCAGATATGTCGGCCCCACTATCGGAAACTGCAGCACCTGCTCTATCGCCAGCTGTACAACTATATACACTTCTGCATGACATTCTTGCTCAAGATGCTCAAACCGTGCTCAGAAACTATCTACAGGTTAGTCTCGTTCGAATATCTAACAGAGTTCTCTTTTTTATTTCTTGAAATAGATTACCAAATAATAAATTAAATGGTAATTTCTTCAGACAGCAGCAACAAAAAGATGCCGAAAGCATATGCTCGAGACCGACGAGTTTGTATCGAGCAACTCCGAGGGTTTTATTATGGATGCAGAAGCAATCACTAAAGCCTATTCAAAGATGAAGATTCTATGCGTCAACATAAGCAATGAAATCAACATCGACATCAAGATCCATAGTCAACATATATTTCCTAGGTAATTTAAATTAATCTATCATAAAATTCGTTGACAATCAAAAGTAACACAAAGATCTTACGTAAGCATATACATACAATTTGTCTAATTTTCAGTTCGATAGACTTGTCTACAATCACATCGGCAGTTTACAGCGTAGAATTGAGCAAAAGACTAGAAAGTTTTCTTGCTGCATGGCCTCCATCGAGTCCCATGCCACATGTGAATGAACTTTTAATAGCAATGTCGGATTTCGAGAGGAGTCTTGAATTGTGGCATATCAGGTTTGTTAATATAAGTGTCTGAACTAAAAATTACTCGAAAAATCTGATTGTTTCTTAGCTTTTTGACTAATACTAAGTAAATTTATGTGGTCGATCAGTGAGGTCAAAGGTGGTGTTGACTCGAGAAATTTGTTCCATGATTACATCATGGTCTGGATACAAGATTTACAGCTTACTTTGCTCGATCTTTGCAAAGCAGAAAAGGTACTTGTAATCATCGGTTGATAAAAAAAAAATTAATTTTTTTTGGGTCAATTTACTGATATTTGGTGGATTTCGTATTGCAGGTGCCGTGGTCCGGTGTGTGTACAAAATATTCGACGTCTCCATTTGCTGAGGAAATGTTTGAAAGGATGGCGAAAATGTTTAGTGAATATGAAGTTGTGATTAACCGGTGGCCTCAATACACCTTCATCTTAGAGAATGTGAGTTCTTCTAGTTTAAAAAGAATTTAAAATATTTAAATAAACAATTAATTATTATATCTTTCGATTTGAAAGGCTGCTGCAAATGTGGAAAGAGCGATAATAAAGGCATTGGAAAGACAATACCACGATATATTGACCCCTCTCAAAGACAGCATACCAAAAAGACTTGGTATGCAAGTCCAGAAACTCGCAAGAAGGCAATCGACCGCCTATTATTCGATTCCTAGCCAGGTAGCTTAACTCATGCAATATTTTAAATGGTTTTATACAACAACTTCATATTCTAATTAATTAATTGAAATGATGGTTAAAAAAAATAGTATTCTAGATAAACATTTCCCTCGTAAATAACGGGATAAATGAGAATAATCGGGTGACAACCTGCTCCGTTTCTTTATTTCAAGGACTTGTGATAGGAATCGAGAACAATCCAAGAGAATAGTAAATAACAATGGCAGATTATGTGCAAGAATCTTAAACACAATAATATACCATATATAGTTGTCCGTATGGAGAGGACAAGGCTCCAGAAATTCATACAAGTTACTAATTCCAATCCCCTAAAAACTGAACAAATACTAATTATTTATACTAAACTAACACAAAACTAATCTCCTAAACATAAGGAATAACTGACTTAATAAAAGTCAGTTTATGGCTCCTAAACACAGGGAATAACTGAAATATAATATCTGACTTAATAAAAGTCAGTTTACTGACATATTATCCTAAATTAACTTCCATTTCTTCATGGAAATGAGTTGGTAGAGGTGGAATTGTATCAACATGTCGTTTCGATCAGTAAATTGAAAAATAGTAACACTGAGTTTCTATTTAATTTCTCGAGTTATGCTAATTATACTTAATGCCTTTTTTATTGTTTGGCAGCTGGGAATATTTCTGAACACTATGAAGAGAATTCTGGACGTACTACATTGTAGGATCGAGGACAAACTGAAATCGTGGGCATCATATTTACCTTTAAATGGAGACAATAAATCGAATTTTGGGGAGCAAATGAATGCAATAACCGTTCTTTTACGGACAAAATATAAGAACTACATTCAAGCCATAGTCGTCAAGCTTGCCAGCAATGTAAGCACGCATTACTCTTTTACGGAATCTCAAATGGAATATTCTTATGAATAAGAAATCCCCGAGTTTTCTAACAGTTTTATATGATTGAGTTCAGATGGTAGCTAATAGGAATACGCGCCTTCAAAGGATATTGGAAGATACAAAAGAAGCCGATGGTGAAGCTCAGATGCGAGAGAGGATGCAGCTGCTTAGCACACAGCTCTCCGATTGCATCTCTAACTTGCACGAAACTTTTACCAGCCAAATATTTGTCGCCACCTGTCGTGCTTTCTGGGACAAAATGGGACAAGTAATAACTAAATAATATTTATCACCACTTCTAGTTCCTTTCTTTCTTCCTAAATATAGTTTTTTTCATTCTTCTTACATGCTTCGGTATTTATTTTATTTTGTTTATTTAGATCGTACTGAAGTTTCTTGAAGGCAGAAAGGAGAATCGAGTTTGGTATACGGGATCTTATCATGCTCTTGGGGTGAGTGATAAGCATTCTTACCGAAACCGAAAAGCATTCTGACACAAAAAAAAAACATTTTTTTTTTGCATGTATATATAACATATGTATGTATATCTTCATTTAATAATTTCTGATGAATTGATGTTATTATTATGTACAGATTCTGGATGATATATATGCATCTCAGATGCAGAGGTTGTTAGGCAATGCATTACGAGAGAAGGATTTGGAGGCACCGAGATCGATTACCGAGGCAAGATCTATTTTGTCAAGAGATACTACTAACAGAATGGATTCTTCTTCTTACATATATTTCTAGCCATTTTTTTTTTCAACATCACACACATTTATTATTTATTACAAGGGTTTATTTATTTATTATATATATATTTTTTATTAAGTTGTATAGAAATGTAGATGATTTTATTTATATGATTATTTTTGTATGTAGAACGATGATTCTTTAATAAAATTACTTGTGGTAAAAATAGTTTATTTGTCTGAGCTATAAACTGTCCTCATTCAAATATAACCAATAAATCAAATATTTGCATCTTAAATTAGGGGTGTGCGCGGGCCATAAACCCGCGGGTTCTATCAAAACCCGCCCTCGTCCCGTCAAACAACGGTTCTTGATTTTGAAGAACCAAACTTGTGGGTTTTTAACGGGTTTATGATAGGCGGGTCCATGGCGGGTTTGTAGTAGGACCCAACCTTTACAGGTCGAAACCCGTTATCGTCTAAACTATTTTTTTTATATATAATTTATAAGTTTTACGGGAGAATAATTAGAAACTAAAATGAATAACCTAAAATTTTAAATTGAAACCAAACATAAATAAAGTAAATGTCAAGAGTAAATAAAAATTAATATAAAACTAAAAATAACTAATTCATAACTTAAAAAGACAAAATTTAAATAAAATAAATATAGTTTTTTCAAGCATAACCAACGCTATTCAGCTCCATTCAACACCATTTTCTTCCTTTTTTTCTGCCGTGTGTTGACCGTTGTATATATATGCTTTTTTTCCTACATTTTCTTAGAGATTTTCATAATCTTTATAGCTATTACTTCCACAATTATAGTTTAGTTGATTTATGTATTTGATACACTAGAAATACTTTATTTATTCATTAATATTATTAATTTATTATACTATATAATGTAAACAAAACGACGTCGTTTTGTATGGCGGGGCGGGACGGGTTTCACGGGTATTAAAAAAAATTGAACCCGTCTAAGACCCAAACCCACGGTTCTTCACCATTTTAGGACCCAATCCTATGGATGGATCTATACGTCCGGTCCCAACGGGGCGGTTTTTCACGGGTTTGACGGGTGTAGCGGGTTGATGGGTCCGACTTGCTCACCCCTATCTTAAATAATGTCGATTTAATTAAAGAGTATATTATGCAAAAAAAATAAAAATCTTAGAGTAGATTGTTTTAATCTAAAAATAAATTTTGAACTCTTTTAAATGGAAATAGAACACAAGTATACTTTTGTATTATTAAAAGGGGGAAATTGGCTAAAAGTTCCTGAAAAAAATTTTATATAGCTAATAGGGCGGTCGGATAATTTGAATTTGCTAATAAGTCCCTCGGGCAGCTTAGTTGGACAACTTAGACTGAAATACACAGCTTAGCTAGAGAGTTTGGACTAAAAATAAACAATTCAGACTGAAAATGGACAACTTTGTAAGATAATTTATACTAAAAATAGAAATCTTAGACTGAAAATCAATGAAAATTATATATGTTTCCAATGATGTGGTGGACGAAAATTAGACGGTTGGCAGCGAAGGACTGGTAAGAGTTGACGGAAGATTGGAAGAAATGCCATGTTTGGGAGTGAGTGTAGTTTTGAGGACAATAAAATGAAGGTGAATAAGGTATTTCCAATCTAAAGTGAGTATTTTCAGTCTAAGCTCTCCAGCTAAGCTGCCCGAGGGATTTATAGCAAAATACAAAAATATAAATGTTCTGATCTGAAAGAGTATTAGTGCCCATAATGTTTAACAAATTATCCCTATTTCAAAATATGAATTTTTTGTTCAGAAGGATCCATCTGAAACTAATGTATATACTATATACTATATTTCTTTGGATAAAAGAATAAGTATATTCTTATAAAATTATTCAAATATGGATAATAAGTTTAGTTGAACCATCATGATCTCTTCTAAGAAAAAAGAAGAAGAAAAAGAAGAAGAAAAAGTAAATCATTCTTCAGTTTTGAAATGTATTTAGCAACTATGATCCCAAATCTATGCTTACTAGAGAGACGACGAGAAAGGTAACAATTACATGGGTTGGGCTTACGTGTGGAAATCTGAATTTAAATTATAGTACATGTCTAGGGTTCGAATCCTGCCCCTTCTTCCACTTTTTCAATTTGTAGCAAGATTTGAATCAACTAATTTCTATTTCTTCGAAGAAAAAAAAAAAATCAATCGAAACGTACGAAACCCATGATTTCAGTTTGTTTCAAAATAAAAGTAAACATTGATCAAAATGAGTAGAATTCACGAATTCTCTGTTTTTCTCGATATATATTATAAATATTGATATTATAATTATCATTTTCAGAGTACAAACATATTTTTTGGAATTATTTTCAAAAATTTATTGGAGCAATTTTTTTTTCAATCAATAAAATAAATAAATAAATCGATTTTTTTTTCAGAATTTAGAATAAACAATATTTTTCCAAAATCAAAATTTTCAGATTGAAATGGGATAAATTGGAAAATTTCATTCCAATTTCCTACTAGCTTAGCAAGCTAGTTGCGTGACATAAATTGTTAGAATTGCCTTCATAAGTTGGAGATTAGATTAATATTGATAACGTGTTAAACATATAAGTTTTTTCCGCAGAATACTAAAAAGGTAGTAATTAGGGACACTAAAGATAAGAAGATGTTTGTAAAAGTTTATGTAAAAGTAAAAAGTTTAGATTATTAATTTAAAAGTTGAAGTAGTTGAAAACAACTCTATTTTTTCCTAAAAAAGAAAACAACTTTATCTCTTCTTTTAAATATCTTAAATTAAAGTGTTTAAAACAAGTGTCACATTTTGTAGAAGACGGTGGATATATGCAAAGCTCATTTTTTTATTAGTTCAAATTGATATAAAGAAGTTTATTAGTTCAAGCACGTAAATTAATTTAATTTTATTACATCAAGACCAAACAGGACGAATATACCCTTATCAATAAATACTACCCAAATTCAAACAAACTCTATTTTTAATTTGTTTAAGACAAAAAAAAAGTAAAAAAAAAACCAAAAATAGAAAAAAAAATAGAAAAAAAAAAGAAAAAACTCACAACTGCCCCACCAGACCGCCGAGACACCAACCAGGGAGACTTCTACCGCGCCGACGACGACCAGCGATCCACCCACCGCATCACCTCCACCGCACCATCACCACCACCTAGGGGTGTGAACGAGCCGAGCTCGAGCCGAGCTCGCCTCTTTTGGCTGGCTCGAGCTCGAGCTCGAGTCTATTTTGTCGAGCTCGAGCTCGAGCTCGAGCTCGTCGAGTTGTTCTTTTTTTGGCTCGAGCTCGAGCTCGTGTTAATTTTGTCGAGCTCGAGCTCGAGCTCGAGCCCAATATCTTTTTTTTTGTTTTTTTTTTTTTAATATTTTTTAATTATTATTTTATTATTAAAAATTATTTTTAAAAAAATACAAAATAAAAACTAAATTGTGTGATTATATATTTTTTTTAATATTTGTATTTATTTCTATAATATTTTATATTATTATACATTATTTAAATAAAAATAACATATAAAAAATAAAAAAAATAAAAAAATAAAAAAACAATAATAAATCCGGCTCGCGAGCCGGCTCGCGAGCTGATGAACAACTAAAATCCGGCTCGAGCTCGGCTCGTCAGAAAGCTCGAGCTCGCGAGCTCGAGCTCGAGCTCGAAAACCTCGAGTCCGAGTTCGAGCTTTTTACGAGCCGGCTCGTCGAGCTCACGAGTCGGCTCGGCTCGTTTACCACCCCTACCACCACCCCACCACCTCTACGGCACCATCACCACCACCCCACCACCACCAACAAGTCTTTTTTACTAAACTTTTGTTTGTCAATTCAAAAACATTAATCGAGCATCAATTCTTGATAAATATGCGTGGATGAACATTAATCTATGCTTACTTCTTGTTATGCTTTAGCCGATTTTGGAAAAATAATTGAGATTGAAATTGATTTTTTTGTGTGTTTTCGTTGATTTCTCAAATCGGTTTATCCAAACCGATTTTGTACACGAAAATCGGCGTCACAATGCCGATTTTTGTTAACCAAATCGGCGACACAACGCCGACTTTACAAGTCAAAATCGGCGTTGTAACGGCGATATTCTTTTTATTTATTTTTTATTTATGATTTATGTTTTTTATTTGATTTTGAATTTCATTAAGGGTAAATTAGTATTTTTATGTGGGATGTTTTGAACTAATAAAAAAATGGACTTGCATATATCCACCGCCTTTTTAGAAATGAAAACTTAAAGGTTAAAAGATAGTACAAATACATTTTATTAACATTAAATTTCGTCACCTAAAATTTCGAAAAACAATTTGAAGTATAAACTAATTTTAGAATATTCTAACTTGTTAATTTATATAAACAAAATAAACTTATAAAAACTCTAAAATACAACCGTTTATTTGGTAACATTAATTCTTATAAGTATCAAACTAAGATGGCTTGAAATGATATCGAACCGAATTTTGACAAACCCCCTCACATGGATTTTACAGTTAGGAGAAGTTTAATTTATATATATATATATATATATATATATATATATATATATATATATATATATATATATATATATATATATATATATAAGTGATATGACTAATTGAGTCAATTCAATGGGCCCACGATTTATTTATTTATTGGGCCACAAACCCAATTCTGAAGACCATTACGACGAAGTCCAAATCACCTTTGAATAAGGTTTGTGTCCGACAACCTCAATTAATTAACTTCGGCCTAATGAACGATGTATAAATAAGGATTTTAACTCGTTTGTTAAGATACGTTCTATTATTATTCAAATACCACTTCCAATATTCTCTCTACGACTAATGCTATCCACACGCCTGACTTGAGCGTCGGAGGGTTTTCCGCCGGATCAACCTCCGGCTTAGTTTACGTGTTCTTTGATCAACAAGTATCTCGGGACCCATCAAGTTCGTGAGTCAGTGATCCACCTTGCTCCTCCAGCTCATTCTACCTCAATTATTTTAGGCGATTTATCTATAGCATCATCAATAAGATAAATTCAAAACGTTCTTTAATCAGCAAAAAATAATACAATTTCAATATAACACTCTTTCCTAATTTTTTAACCTA